GGAATGCAGGAGAGGAATCATGGCATTTGTGTTTCAGTTATTTTCCCCCTTTCTTTTCCATGGCTTTCTTCTCCGCTTCAATTTCTGTGAGATAAGACATGCACAAATGAGGTGAATAAATCAGAAGATCACATTCTACATCATTGGCAGGACAAAAAAAAAAAAGTCCAAATTTTAATCATCCTCCTATATTAATACATTAACACACAACTCTAATGTCCACAGAACAATTATAATCTAAATTAGTGTCACATATTCTAGATAGTTAAAAAAAAGGATTTGACTATGCAGCATCTGGTGTGACAGATGGGTCCACTCATGAGTTTGGCTCTGTTACAAACTGACAGAACTTTCAGTCAGTGGTCAAGTGCATCCCCCTTTCAGTTTGTCTCTAAAGTATGAGGAGTGTACTGACTGGAATGCAATAATTAGAGGCACTCTAGTGATACAGCACTGCACTTCCACAAAGTTTGAGACATTTGCACATTAAGAATAAGTAAAAATTTAACTATGAAAACAGACATTTCAGTGAAATTAGATTTACTAATAACCTCTTTAAAGCAAACCTCTATCTGCTATATTGTCAATTGCAGCATAATTCTGAAGTGTTGGTTGGTGGAAGTGACAGAAGAGTACAGTCAAAGTCTCAAGTGAACCAGTGACGTCAATTAAACACCAAGACTCAAAGCTTTGCCAAACTTGATCCTCAACCTACTGGTCATTAGACCAAGGCTGTATAGCAACAAAGGCGAGTGCACATATAGGCTAACTGAGCAAGGGTGTTTTACCGCTTGTGATTTGACTCATTGAGAACATTACTACTTTCAAAAGTTACATTCTCACATTATTCTTTGAGTTCAAATACAAACTTCACAATGAGACACTGTGTGCAAGTAATGTTCAACACGTGCATCATCTCTTCCTTGATAAAACTCAGTTCAAGATTCAAGAAGTCAACTATTTGTGCTACTTGTGTCTGTGCCGACACCAAGGCTGGCTCCCCACTGATGTCAGGGCTACACTCAGATCTAAGAGCAGCAGTCAGTGGAGAGCCTCTAGGGAATTGAGCATTTTGCTACATTTTAACTTGAACTCTTGCCTTCCTGTTTTCATGTCACACCAGATCAAGTGGAGCTTTTCTACTGTACAGATGTTCACAATTTGTATTTTCCCCTATAGTGTGTAGAGAATGAAGCCCAATGTGCTTCACAAAGTAGTAACAGAACAAAGGGGTGGGGCAAAGCACGGGCAATCTCTCAGGTACCTGGGTGTGTACCTGCAGTTAATCAGTAATGCAATGCTTGCTGTT